ATGCCATTGTTTTTTGATACTCTCCTACAGCTGACCTGTTACCTTCTGTTTATCTTGGAACATGTAAGGTTCATTACATCTGAGGCTGAGTAAGCTCAACAACCGTTTAAATCAACTGATCTATAGTGAAGGCTCTTCACACCAAATTAATTTTGTAACATGTGTCTTGTAAGATACTCTGGAAGTTTCAGAGCTCCATGAGCAACAAGACAAACAAGCAAGGCTGCATTCTGCTCTCACACTGGCTACAATCCTGGTGTCACATGCTAGAAAATAAATAATTTTGTGAAGTGGATACCACATTAAGTAGCAATCCATTCAAAGTTTAAATGCTACTTGATTTCTCTTGGTCTTTTTTTGGTTTAACTATGATGATATATTGCTATGAAGTGTCCTTCTCATCCCACATACTTGTTCAAATACAAAGTCCCAGCTTCTTAGGACATGGCACACTCTCCAGTGCTACAACTGTAAGGGATTCTGTTGTTAAAGTGTTTTATTACTGTCTTGTGACATTTACTCAGATTCAAAGCCTGTAGCATTTCAGAAATAGTAGAGAAAGTCAATGGATTTTTTGTTTCCCTTCTAAAATCCTGAAAGATGCAAAAGTAGGGAAAAATATTAAGCGGTTTTGTGCTTCTGGTCCAGGAATTGCTTTGATTGAATCTTACATGAACGCATCCTATGGACTGCCGTAAGATGCTGTGCAAAACCAGCTATACAACTGCTTGCAAAATTGAAGTTGAGGCACAAGCTTTTCCATCTCTCAGCTCATGCTGTCTTTCAGACAACACTGTCTCCTTCTACCATTTCAGAAACTTAGCTGCGTTCAGTGATATACAGCACTTCACATTAGAAAATCTGAAAATAATTTCCAACAGGATGAGCACCATAATTTTTCTCTCACCTGCTGCTGCTTCCGCAAAAAGTTTACAGCTTCTTCAAAATAGTCCAGTTCAAGAATCTCTGGCATAGCAGGGAGGTCTTCAAAAGCCATGTAAGCAAGAGCGAGAGTCACGAAGCCTCTGCTAGCCAGAAGACTTGCTCTGAATTCAACAAGACCTCCTCCAGATCCATACAAATCGATAAGTCCAGGGAATGGACCAGGTCCTGCAATGAAAGGTGTGTATATATATATATATATATATATACTCAAAGAGAAAAGTTTCTACAGTTGTCCTTTCAGTAGTGCCCCTCAGCACACATCAGGACAGTAGATATCAAAAGGAAATCATCCTCTGAAGCTTTCCATGGAGGTTCTCATTCTCAGGCACGCATACAATCACTGTAAGGACACTAATTTGGATATTTCTCTCTCTTAGGAACTCACTATCGGAAGTTCTCATGTCGGATGTCCTTTTCCCACCATGAATTTCAGCTGAAATCGGCCTAGATGTTCTCGGACCATTGGGGACTGATGAACAAACAGCAGTGCTGCATGAGCTCTGTTTCTTTAGGAACTGTGCTAGCAGGTTTTCCAGGGAAGGAATACTTGAGCTATGAAATGCACCACAAATGCCAGCACTGACCTATGCCAATTTGGGCTTCAGATCCGGGTAACTACCCCTGGGCTTCTCAGTTCTCCTCCTGCAGCCATAGGACCTTCCTTTCCTGCTGCTGCTCTGCCCATTCTTATAGCAAGACTTCCCTTGCAAGATTTGATGTCGCAGCAGCTGCAAGGGACTTTTTATTCATTGTAGAGCAAGATATTCACATTTAAGTACTGCTCAGGGAACATAAATGGTTCAGGGCTCAGAGCAGCTTTATACAAGATCCAGTCACAGCACTGTCTGTACGCCGCTGTGGAATATGACATCTGTTTAATTAAAGACCTTGCTTTTCTCATTTGTTTCCCATCTTCCTAAATATCCCATGCAGTTAAGCTGCTCAACCAGGTAAAGATTTCTTTCTTTGGCTTTTCCTCAGCCAAAGAGGCAGACAGAAAGACAAGACCAGAGCCTGCAGGAAGATCCATAGCAGCTGCTGGAGCAGCCTAAGCTGGCTGCAGTCCGAGTCCAGTGTTCTCACCACACCCTGTCATTCCTTGTTCCACCGTCGGAGCTGTCATGCCTCACAGCTCTGCCGAAGTCAAGGAGCCCCTTTGTCCTGTTAACTAAACAGAAGAGCTAAGAAATAAACACACTTTTCCCCAGAGCTCTCAGAGCAGGAGAGGTCCCGACCCCGCCTCAGCTAGAGCAAACAAGACGTGCCTCGTGTTACCTCCCTGCACCCCACCTGGGCACTTGACCCGCCTGGGCAATGCCTGCTCCTCTCTGCTCTGCTGTGAGGATCCAAGTAGCTGGACCGAGCACAGGCTGAGGAAACCATGAGCTGAGGCTTTACTCTGGGCTCCCAAGTGCATCCAGAAGCCACAGGGCACAGTAAGTGACGTAAGTCTCACCTGGAAAACCAGAATGGAATTAAAACTCACCCGGAGGGAGGAAGAGGGTTGCTTTCAGACGACCTTCTCTGACTGAAATCCTCTTCACCCCCTCTCCTAAAAACCATCGCTCATTGGTGCATTTTCCCAGCAACCGGCTCATGTCCTCATGGCCCTCATACACTTCCAAGTCCACACAGAAAGGGGTCAGGACATTCTTCTTTGCCAGCCGCTTATAGGGCGCTTTAGACCGCAGAGACCACAGTAGCCCCATCGGCTCCACTCCCAAATAGCTGCCCCCCAGCGCAGGGGAGTCGCTGAGATCGAGCTCTCCATTGCTCCCAGCTCTGTAGCGAGCGTGGGCTTGGAAAAGCTCCCCACTCTCGTCCACCAGGCTGGCTCGGAGGGTGACGGCCTGCAGTGGCAGGAGACCCACCACATGGATCTGCACGGGGTCATCGAACAGACACCTGGGGGAAGGCAGAACCGTCACCTGCACCGCCATCACGGCGCTGCTGCGGGGGAGAGGAGCTGCCCTTCTTTATGGCGAGACACGGGCTCCGCGACACAGGATCGCCACGAGCCTGTCACTTCTCAGGCTTAAGATCCCTGCCCGAAGTCCAAGAGGAACCACTGTGACTCCTTCCTGCAGCCAGCAAGCACGGGCTGCTGGGAGACGTAGTTCGGCGCAGCCTGCCTCCGGACACTCCGGGTCAGGGGTGGTACAGGAGCAGCACCCACTTGGCACAGACACAAGCTGATGTTTGCTCCTGGCGTGTGGTCTCACTTCTGATTACAGAGACAGACTAAATTAAAAACCTCAAAGTGACAAAAAGAGAGATTCAAATTGCCTGGGAAAGTCCGGATTCAATTGCAGAACTGGCTTGGGCACCTTTTCCAAGACACAGTGAACACAAGCTGGAAAGCCTGAAGGAATGTGACAGATTGATCTAGCTGTGAAACAAAGCCTGCCCTTAATCCCTCCTGAGTTCTCAGCAATTTTTGGACAAGCACCACAAGGTAAAATGATGCTTTATGCTTTAACTGTGTTTCTTTAAAAAAAAAAAAAAAAAGAAACAAAGTAAACGAATGACTAGCTTTTTTCTTCACAATAATCCACCTTGTCAAAAGGGTATCTGCATTTTCCTAATACATGTGTTGCAAAAAGTTTGATAAAATAATCAAGATTTGATCGAGTAGAAGAGTTAGGCTTGATTAAAAGGTAGAAAATTGTAAAACATAACGTATAGATTAGGATTGTTAAATTTGAAATAGGTAACCACAGAGACCTCACCAGGAAGTTACTGGATTTTTCTGTTTTGTTTTAACAAACTAAGGGAACCATCATGGACATCAGTTATGCTGCCTGGAAACCCTCTTACCCCTTCCCATCTTAATTTAAATATCAAGGATTTCAGTCAGTGGAGTTAAGTAGAATTAACCAATGATTGTTTTAAGATAAGAATATTGATACGGTTATATAACTAGTAAAACCAATCATTTTAAAAGTCAAATTTAAGAGTGAGCATAATATGCATTTTTATGTAAAAGAACTTCTGCTTCTTTTAAACAAGTTTCTTTTAAACTTATGTTTCTTTAAACAAGCTTTCTTTTTCTTTGTTCTTTTAAAGAACAAAAATTTCATACGAAAAAGTATAAAAACTTATGGATTTTGATGCTAAGGTGGACACGTTTGGACAGAGCTATCCCCCATGTCCCAAGCGCTGAAATAAAGAAGTGCCTGTTTATCTACTTTGTGTAGATTAATTTTCTTCCCGAATACTAACACATGGAAAATACATTTTCCCCCGTGTAGCTAATGTTTCTAAGGAGCCGTCTGAAGTATTGACAATAAATATCAACCTTTGGTTTTCAAAAACAATACTACATTTTTGCAATGTCTGTGTATTTAATAGCCTTCTAGTCCTACCCTGCGGGTCTCAGGCACGTGAGCAGTCTCATTCCCTTCTGTGGAAATACAAATGGGAATCAAGGCTGTGGAAATAGGTTCCTGGCTCACACAACCCGCCTAACCATGCATTAGGCAGCAATGAATGGCAAAGGAATGAAACGATCAATGAGCCTACAAGCTGCAGAATCACACGTCATGCCATGAGACCACAGGTGATGCGCAGATTGACTGTAGATCCGTCAAATTGACTCTAAAGTCACCACTCAGGATGTAAGAGAATGTAGCTACATTTAAATACAACAATGGAAAGAAATAAAAATGAGCAATAAAAACATGTAGCTTAACATAAAATATTAATATAATATATAAAATAGCCAGCATTGACTTTTTGCATGTCCTCCATCCATCACATCATTTGAAAAAAAAAGTAAGAAGTTAGTACAGAAATAAGCTTTTAAACTGACTTTTTATTGCAGAAGTTGTAATTTCTCTCCATCAAAACACCACAGCCACGGAACTTAGTGAATTACAACTTGACAGGACTTTTGCCTTAAGTGGAACGCGTGTGTTGGACTGATGCAGCCTGATGCACGGGTGAGTGGGAGAGCAGATTCTTCCTTGTCCGCTTGGGTTGTCAAAAAAAACAATCTGTAGATCTGAACGAATAGTTGTAGCTTCTGTTTTGCGATCTCCAAAACCTGGATTGCCTCCCTTCAAATTTTATCTTGCTCACTATCACTGAGGCAACATGCAAAGGCCTGAGAATGCCATTATCAAACCTTCTACTTACAAGCCAAAGAACCTGACCAACTGATCTGGACTCTGAAATCAAGCAAAATAGCCATGATCTGTTTGACGGACATCATTGAGGATAATTTAATCTTCGGTTCTTTTCACTTTAATGATGTTTGTACTCCAGTCACAGACGCTGATGATTATATCGCATCACAAAGAGATCACAAGCTCAAGTTTCCCACCTCTGCTATAACACCTCCACGGCTTTTGTGAGACAATCTAGTAGTTGATAATAGCTGTACTTAAGGTCATATTCCATGTCATACCAATAATTTACTGAGGAGACAAGAAAAAGGAAAAATATTGCTAAGGCTAAAATATAATTATGTACAAACGTGTTCATAGACTGTGTTACACGGTTCAGCTTTTCCTTATTACTCACTGAACTTTGAAATGAACAAATCTTTGACTACAGCCAAAAATAACATAAGCAAACATTAGAGATCTTTAACAGTGCTGTCAATGCAACTCTGTCTTAACTCAAACCAACTCCTCTTCAGAATCTATACTGGAGATTCCTTGGAGCAGAAGTTGGCAAAATGTTTAGGACCAGAAAACAAATGCTTCTATTTAGACCAAGAATACCAAATACACTGCAAAGTTTAATATCTGGATAAGATCCTCTCTTCCTCTGAGTGTGTAAAGGATGGCAAATTCACCACTACGTCACAATAGCCATCAATTAGACAGTGCTTTAATTCTGCTTCTTGTTTTAATTTTGGTGTACATCTACTAGAAAAAATAAGCCAAGCAGGATAATACTGTACCAATGGTTCTTGGAGGAGGATATACTCTAGCTTCAGACATTCACTGGACCAGACCCAAAGAATACTGATTTTTCAAGTGAATACAGACTATAGTGCAGTTAACGGACTAAAGGCCAAATAAACTTGTCTTTAGCATTTTTGCTAGACAAAGAGAGTGGCCAGTGGCTTGCAACTGGAAGCAACCCTACCTTTTCCAAAAAATCTTTCAGGACTGATGCAGCAGTACTGGGAAAACAGAATCAGAAACACTGCTTTACTGCTAGCTTTTTACCAGAGTATCGCAAATACTGAAAAAAAGAGGCCTGCAATATTTGCAGTGTTGCACAAATACTAATGGTATGTTTTTCACAATACTGTATTTACTCCTCCTGGGCAGACAGGATTATTCCAGGTAAAGGATAGCAAAAAAATTTTCCTCAAACCTTGCAAAACTACAGGATATAATACTAATACTTTGCTCCACCCCCAGCCCTCCAGCTGCACCAAATGAGCAATGCTTGAAATTCTGGAACTCTCTTCAGGAAAAGAAAAAAAAAGGTAGAGAGAGATTGTGATAAATCCTACAAAGAAAGAGCTGACAAGACCTTTGATAAGTGCAGGGGAACAGTAACACAAGAACAGGCTTATTAGCAAAGTGGGACACTGGGTCAGAGTAGATTCCAGCTCGCGTGACAAGAGAGTATCTTCCACGTTGTGTCTACAACCATGCCCAAAACTCAGACACTTTCTGGTTTCCTTTTCTTCCCCTAGATCCTTTTTTGCTGATGTGAGTTTCTTTGTGAAAGACGTGTAGATGGCCAATTTGCAGTTAGCCGGCTGGGCAGACAAACTGCTTAGCTCCACACTATAACAGAAACTGGATCATGATCACTGAACTAGCTATCCTTCTCCAGACTTGACAACTAGAAAGACTTTTTCTTCTGCTCTATCTCTGGCATTTGTCAAAAATGCTATGATTTATAAGCAAAAGAGACTGCAAGGAGATAGCCCCATGGCATCTGTTGAGACTATTTCCTCCTGAGAGGAGGTAGATGATTTTAAAGGGACCTTTAGTCCCAGTTATGCTTTGCTGTGGGACATCTACCTGTACACCTACCACAGTTCAAAAACATATCTGAAAGTATTGTGTATTTTACCTGCTATACAGCCATGTGACTGCTGAACATGATGGAACCAGAGAGAAGGCAGGTATAACATCTCACCAGCTTTCACTGTACACTGCAAAGGTTTTGCCTGAGCATACTCTGGATATCGTTCCAGATTCGGGTTCAATGGGTCCAGGGGAATCCAGGGCACCTAAAAGCAAAAGAGTATGTACATGGTAGCCACCCTGGCAAAAAATTCCAGCAAGCTTCCAGAAAAACAACTGATAACCAAACTTAGTAGGTTACAAAATATGTATCTTGCCTAGCAAAACACGTACAGCTAGTCAGCTTTCCACATCCAACTGGGAATAGGTCAAGGATGCAAAAATTTGCCTCCTTCGGCGAAGGATTTCTTATTAGGGAAAAGGTGCTAAATGTCACCCATGAAATTTCAGTTTCATGGCACACTTTCAAAACACCTCCAGCCCCTTAAGTCACTTGTTCCTCCTACATTCAGTGCTTGAGTATTTTATCTGCCTCACTCTTTTTAGAAATTCCTTTCTTCTTCTAAAGCTCTCCCCCCTTCCTGCTGGGAAATCCCTCTTGCCTGCATTAGTTTCTTCTATGTCCTACAGAGTTATAAACATCAGCATTCCACCTTACTGTGTTACAGGAATGCTCCCATGATATTGAGCACCATTCTGGAAACAGAAAAAAAGGCCTAGCTCATTAGTAGAATGTTGTAGAGGCAAAAGGAGAGAGATTAGATACAAAAGGCTACCGAGTTTTTGCAAAGTGCTTCCAGATCTGTACATTTTAATCAAATAAATATTGCTACTATTAAGAAAGCACAATTTATTCATTGAGACAGGTATGTTTTATTGCACTGGGTGATACTGCTGTAGAGCAAAATCCAGCCCTGAGGGCCAAAAGAAAGTGAATGCAGAGGAGTCTATTTCAGTCTTAATGAAATAGATTCCTTTATTGTTGGTTCATTTAAAAGTCCTTTACCAGACGTATTTAAGTTTGGTGCACAGAAGACAGTTTATGATAACAATGGTTTCAAGTGTGCAGTAAAAATCTCTTCTGGAAGCTGGGCATCCTTTGCGAAGAGTAAAATATGAGTGAAATATCTGGGCGTTCTCTTACCAGCCATGAAGGATTTCTAAACATCATCGATAGGCTCAGTTTGGGCGCTCAACAGTGCCCAAAATTATCTTTACTGTATTGTGTTCCTTATATACCCTTTACCTTATCTTCACTCTTCTCATCCACAATTTCAAATGAGCCATCTTCTGACACCTGGTAGGTTGCTGGCTGATAGAGCTCTGGAACCACAGAAAGAATTAAATGGCACAACTCAGAGTAGTACTCACAGCAACTAATGGCAGAGTGTGTCACACTTTCACTGACTAAAATAAAAATTAAGATAAAACCATTTTAAACTTACTGTCCTCACTGTCCTTCCCTTTGTCCATTTCCATTTTTATCTAGTTTGTTGTTTGTTTGCTTTTTTTTAAGTCAGTCTGAATACTGAACTGCATTCCTGTTTGGAATTCCAACCTTTTTTCTTCACAGGAATTATTCTCCTCAAAACCCATTTTACTCCTGGTCCTGTTTTGTTCCAGTAGCTGTCTTGTTTCCCCTTCGGAAGTCATAAATGCATCCCTCACTTAAACACTGCTCTATTTTCTGCCATTTCTTCTTAGGACAGTCTAGCAAGATAGCACTCACAAGAGTTATTAGCAACTTGCAGCCTGCCTTTCACTTCTAATTTCACCCGACAGGGCTTATCAACTGCTTCAGATACTGCAGGTTGCTCTTCTTTCATTGCTTCAGTGTGTGTGGTTTTCTAAGCCCTCCCTTGAGAGAGTTTCTCTCCATTAACCCGACGTTCAAAAAGATGGAGTCATCTTTCTACTACACACTACGAAATGTAAGCGTTATCTCTGTTCCATGCTCTAACAGTAACTTGTTTTACAATATATGATTCCTATGACATACGTGTATTTCATACATTCACATACATATGACACCACCTCTCCTATGAAGAAAAGCTGAGACAGATGGGGTTGTTCAGCCTGGAGAAGAGAAGGCTCTGCGGCAACCTTACTGCGGCCTTTCGATATTTAAAGAGGGCTTATAAGAAAGACAGAGAAAGACTTTTTACCAGGGCCTGTAGTGACAGGACAAGGGGCAATGGTTTCAAATTGGGAGAGGGGAGATTTAGATTGGATAAAAGGAAGACATTTTTTACGATGAGGGTGGTGAGGCACTGGAACAGGTTGCCCAGAGAAGCTGTGGATGCCCCATCGTTGGAAATGTTCAAGGCCAGGCTGGATGAGACTTTGAGCAACCTGAATAGTGAATGGCAGGGGGGTGGACTAGATGATCTTAAAAACTATTCTACGATTCCATGATTTCAAGGTTGTAAACAAAATAAACCCAGTATAAATAAAATATTGTAGCAGCACACATATCCAGGCAAAATTATGTTAGTGTCCTATAGCACTCCACATTCACTTAGTCTGAAGGTTTGAAAGTCAAGGAATGGGAAAATAAAGTCTTATTTTATGAAGCATAAAGTTAAGCTGTCCATCTTCTAAATGACACTGTAATATAACAAACTATTACTGTGGACACAGGAAAGCAACATAAAGAAACAGAAAATGGGCAATGCGAAGTAATGCTGCCAGAAGAATCTCCCTTTTCACTTCTCCAGTTTTCAGAGATTCTGTTAGTACCTTGAATACTTCATTAAACTACAACTTGTTTTTCAGCTTCCTGGCTTTTTTCCTACAGAAAAAGAATGAGCAGGCAGAATCCAAACCTGATAAACATCAAAGATGACATGCTACCATACTGACAAGATACTTAAATAAATATTCTAAAGCTGAAGAGACTGCCATAAGTATCAATGAACTTCTTACTTTACAGGACTGGAGAACCTGACCTCAGAATAATGTTTGTATTACAAACTACCTGCAGCACAAAATAGCAAGAGATTTCTGTTCACATTGGAAAGCATAACACTTCATAAACATTAAAATGTCATCACTGCTTCCTTTTCCATGTCTTTCAACATTTTAGTCTCTCCTCCTTCCAACCTCCAGACATATTGCATAGTAAATTATGTACCATATGGGATGAAAGGACGGTCACTCGGTGGATGCAGTAGGAAATGTTTCTCTCCGGATATCACACAGTATAAGTTCTCATAATGATCTTTATGTACTAGGATTGAGAAAAAAAGAGATATGGCAAAAAAGTGAGAAAATCAGTGTTATTTCCTTCTCTACACCAGAAACAACAGTAAACTGGGAAGTGTCAGCTTGTCCTCTTATCATCAGGCAGCTAGCTCCTCCCTTTGCAGCCAGTGAGAGCGGAAAGTAACGCTGTAACGTTGTAGCAAATGTATTCAACAAAGCATACCGCCAGCGCCAGGAAGATGCACCCAGAGACGGCTGCAAGAAGCCGCAGAAGTGCAGGAATAAAAATGAAAAGAAGCATTTTAAAGTAGAACTGGCTTGTCAGAGAAAACACACAGTCCTACTGAGCCACCAACTCAAAACAAGCCCACTTAAACCTGTGCTGAAAGCTCACAGAAGACTTACAGTGCCAAACAATACGTACAAGATGTCACCGCAGCCGATTCCCCAAGCCAGAAATTGACAGCATCGGGCTTTTTCCCTGCATGGTTAGGGAATAGAGGAATGTTGTCAACAAAAAAAGTATTGGAAGTGTCATGTTTAAAGGCACTTCAAATAATTTTCTGCCCTCAACTGCCAATAACTGCCAAATTCTGTCCTTTAACTTCCTTCATAACTATGACAGGTTTAATTGCAAATAGCACTCTGTGAGCAGCAGCAACCTCCTTCTACACTGGAAGTCACCGTAGCGCCAATCAGACTTCAAAATATAGTATTATCCATGCCCAAATTGATGGTTACAACCCTTTGTTTCCACATTCTGAATCCCTAAGACTTAGCTCACAGAGAAAACTGCAGCGTGTCTACGTACAGCTGCAAAAAGAAGGTGAAATCACAGTAAATCTTTTCTGCTGACGTTTTAAGGAAGGACATGCTGTACAACAGAAACCAAGTGAAACAGAACCATCTTTAACTAGAAACAAACATCTGTAATTTTACCAAAGGGCGTGAGGGCTGTGTGTTGTTTCGCTGGTTTGTTACGCTAGCTTTGGTAGAAACAGCATGAATCCAAGTCAAAATGTGTCTCAAAAATAAAAGCCACTATGCAAAAAGAAGTGCTATACAACACTATCACCCCACTGTTTCAGCTGTGATGGTCCCAATACACAACTGAGATACTGATTCCAGAGTAACCCAAACCCAAAACCTGGATTACTCTATTATTGAGTATTTTACCATCTCTGCTTTCTAAGGTGATGAAACCAAACTGAGCTGTGACATCCAGGAACAGAACAAACATTCACCATGTACCTAGCATGCTTGTTGCAAAGCTCCATACAAAACATTTACTGAATACAGGAGAAATAGAAGGTTTACCAAGTGCCTCACTCATCCACGGTATGTCAGGCTGCACATCACAGACAAGTTCAGGGAACTCCTCGGTGAGGTTTGAACACTGCTTCTGCACATAGAATACGTTGGGAGAGGTCACTTTCTTCTCCACAATGTCCAAAAAGTCCATGAAAGGCATTTGGCGCTCCTCTGGCATGACAAAACGGTCCTGAAACACCGCATCTGCATAACCATTTGGTGTTACTGCCACACTCACTATCTTGGGACCTACTACCTCCCTGCAAAATAAATCAAAGGTTTATAGCCAGGCCTGCAACTGGCCCGTATATTGGACACTGGTTACTTTAAAAATGACATGTTTCACAGGCAGCAGAAACAAGCAGCCTGGCTTTCCATAGATGAGTGTCTCTAGACTAGGTTTTCACTGTCCAATACAGACTTTGGTACGCTGCTCCGATTGCTTCCTGTAGTCAAGACAACCACAGTATCTTTTGCTTCTCTAAATTCTCTTGTGTCTAACAGGTGAGTTCACAAAGGAGCTCCCTTTTCCTCCGTGTAGGCAGAGGGCCTTCTTCAGCCACTTGTTTTCATGAATCATGGCAGAGCTTGATATTCTCAGGATCACTCAATCCAGCCAAATCTCAGTGGCCACATGTTCAAAAGCAATAGAAGAGGGAGAAAGGGTGGACAGAGACTGAAGACATACACATCATGAGGCCAACAGCCTATTTCGTTTTAAACGCATAGATTTTTAGGTCTAACCAGGCATCTCCTCTCAAAAAAAGGACTTACAAAAAAAAAAAAAAAATTGGTCATTGTTAAAACACTCATCATTTGTTGTTTAAGAAAACAAAGTGTACTCAGTCACAAACAAGTCACTCTGTCCTTACAGCACTACAGCCCCACTCCAACTGGAGGGGCTACAGGGTGGAGCACTGGCTGGTGCACAGTGACAGGACTGGGTTTCGGCAGCTGGAGTCTGCTGGCTGCACGCGGACCCTTCATACCACAGCAGAGCTGCTCTGGACAGCACACTCGCAGGAAGACATTTACACAAGTTTGGCAAGACTGAACACCTTCACAGGGCAGCACAGAGGAATCTGAGCTAATGTGAAGGATAAAAACAAAGATTAACTAAGAGCCTTTTACTGAGGTCAACCGAGACTGACCACCAGTCCTGCTCCAGAGCTCGTTCATACCTGAGGTACGCTGACGTCCATTTCTTCAGAGCCGGCCAGTGGCTGATGGCATTCCGAATTATACAAGGTTTATTCGGACTCACCCATTCTCGATAAAACTCCAGCGGGGACGGAGTCCTATCAAGATAGGGCACGGACTCCGTCCACCCCAGCTCTGTCCAGGCAAAGGAGAGAGTTTTACTCGGCGTTCTGAGAGAAATGCGCTCTGCTACACACAAATGGTCTTCCAACCCCACACCGCCGCCGCTCAGCTGACAGCAGGCAGCAGCCCCCAGATTCAGAAATCGCTGCCAAAACCCAGAGGCTGCCAGGGAGGGTTTCAGTGCCAGGCGGGCACCTCGGGCCATCGCCCTGCGGCTCTCCTGCTGTCATCCCACAGGTGGTCACGCCGTGGGCCCACAGGCGAGCGGGAATGAAGGACATACATTACAGGGGGTGCACCTCCGATACAGAGATGATACCACAGGAAGATCTCTGGAAGCTGAAATAGTGCTTAGTTTTGCTATTTTATACATAGGAAAGCAACCTAAAAGGGCCATTTCCGACAGTTTCGGCGGGTTTTTTTTTCAGCAGCCTTTCTACTGCTCTTCACCTTGCAAACATTTGGCTGAAAACAGAGGAGGAGCGCGGATGCTCCAGCTCAACCCACG